CCCCCCTCCACAATATCAAACCATACAAAATAGGGATATGATGAAACTTTGTGCAGATGCTGTGGGTTACTACGTCCAAATTTCTTTACGGGTCACCATTTGAAAAAAAACTGAAATATATAGCCCTCTGTGAAAATGTGCAATGTTGTCAAATAGTTTGTAAAGGATCGTGACAAATTTGCCTTACACAAATCGCACATCCCCTACCTGCTGTATCCGTAGGCTGCTTTAAAGAGGAGTGACTGAAATAAATAGTGGTGGCAAAACTTAAACATCGTAGTCACAAACAAACAAACAAGGAGTGGAATCTCCTGTTTTGATCACAGTTGTAGCAGCACCATTGACGGTTTTCTCTGATAAGGTCAATCTTCACTGTCTTTAATCCTGCTGTGCCAACTTGGGACTTCTGAAGGAGTGAAGGAAGGAATGACACTGCACTCTCCATATTCTTTCTGATGTAGATGTTGTCTTCTCAGGTCTTTCACCATCTTCCTCTTCTTTTCCAGATTCTGCGAAGAGACAAAAGTAACCAATCATTAACAAAAGTGTTGAGTCTATGTTCCTGATATTGACTTCGATATATATATAGTTCCAGATTCTGATACTTCATGAATGCTATCATGTGTTGTTTATTAGTTCACATTGTAACAATGGCCATAACATTGTTGTTGTTTATTAAAATGGTCATACTCTTTATAGAGAGCTCCGTGTTCTTCTGACATGGAGGGCAGAATGAAAAAAAAAAAAAAATGTTCAGTTTGTTGGGCTGTGTTACTGGTTATCAAGAAAGAAAGGTGCCTGGTACCACTTTTTGATTTTGTAAAAAAATCTAGACTTTTGAGTCTTTACGCTTTTCCTTTCACGTGAGTAATACATAGTAGTCTAAAATGTATGCCATATTATAGAAAGAACATTTTTGTGCTTCAATTAGTTTTCACAGCACTAACATAAAAAAATGGACAAGATTTTTTTTTCCCCCGAGCACGTGGCGGATATTTTTTATTCTTTGTCTTTTAATGAAGTTTAAGTCTTTGTTTATTAAAAACCGCAATAACATTTGATCATTATCACCAAAAGTATTTACTTTCAGCTTAAGAAAATTGGCAGTGTAAGAAATTATTTAACTAAAGCAGCAGCCAAGACACTTGTAACAACACTC